CTGTGTGTGAGTTGCAGTACTGATTGAACAGTTCGTTGGCGGATACAAGGGTGACTGGGAGAAAGCACCCAGTGGCCAGAACCAGGATTCGAAGCTGCAGCTGCTGAATGAAGAAGGGGTCTCGTTCGATGCAGATGGATTCTTGGCCGATAAGACATTGCTGTGGGATGATTTTGACGTGGAAAAGTTGAAGTAATTGTGATGGAAGCGTGGAGAGTCGCGTTCGCGAGGCTGAGGCAAGTGGGGGCGGGGCGATCAATCAGAAAGTTTTGGTGCAGCCAACACGTCGGGAAGGAATGCACTGGTAGCAGGTGCTGTTATATCAAAGCTTGCGCACAACCTTGGAAGTCGTCTTCTGCGCACTACACTACAATTGCTTAGCAATCGTCAGACGCAATTGCGCAAATTTGCCACTTGAACATCGGTTACCTGCGCATACCTGAGTTTACAACAACACCACTTTCTAGATTACCGCTGCATCAACTCCTCAATACTACACCTGATCATCAGTATGCCGCCGAAGAAATTCTTGAAGCCGAAGCCAAAGGGCAAGGTGAAGCCGCCGGAGCCGGAGACAGAGAACGACTTCCTCGAAGCTGCGGACGAATTCGAACAAGCGGCAGGGAAATGGCGCGCGGGCGATGCTGCGAAGGCCGTTCGCTTCTTCAATCGAGCGGTAGACGCGTATAATGAGGGGTTGAAGCGCCATCCTCAGTCGTTCGATCTTGCATACAACAAGTGAGCAGTCGTCCTTTCTGCTCATTCGCGCAATGCTAACAATACTAGAGCGAACCTGCAATACACTATATCAGAAGATGAGCGCATCATTTCACATTTCGGAAACAGAACTGCGCTACTAGAGGAGACTTTGATGTCGCATCGCTACGCCATCTCACTAAACCCCACAAATACCGACATTCTTTTCAACGCTGCGCAAGTACTTACCTCATTAGCAGAGGCCGGTTTAGAAGCCAGCTCACCGGCAGCCGGAAAGCAAGACGCGAGACCATTGCTTGAGGAGGCGTTTGATATCCTCACAAAATGCTTAGAGAGCCAGCAGCAAGAGTACTCTCAGATGCAGGCCGAGATTGCCAAGATTGAGGCCTCAGGGGAGTACAAGGAGGCCTGGGAGGGTGAGCGTCAGCAGCCAGCGGAGACTCAAGAACAAGACATGGAGACCGAATCAGGGGCTTCTGAAACACCAGGGGACTGGGCTACTGTTGAAGAGCCGCTGACACCAACAAGCATCTTGGAAACTTGCACAGCACAGCTCAGTACCTTAACGACATTACTAGGTCTGTACAACCCCGCTACAGATCTATCAAGTATAGAGAAGAAAGCACAGGACGGAATAGATACAGCTACAAACAAGATCCCAACACTCATAGACCTCATCGAGAAATCGCCCGCTCCGAAAGCCGACGATGAGCCCAAAGCAGGCCCAACACTGTCCATATCCGCGCCAGAAGAAGCAACCACCACACCCAAAGACGATGCAATACTTGCGGCTGCCAATTTCCAAGCTAGCGTGGCGGAAATGCAATACCGTAGCGGCAGAACAACATCGACAGAGTACGCAGGGACTATGGAGCAGATATTCAGCAGTCTAGTACAAACTGCGACGCAGAACGCGAGTCCCGATCTCGCAGCTATCAACGTACAGTCCGCATATGCCGACGCGCTCATGGACCTTGCTTCAGCACTAGCAGATGGCACCCAATATACACCATCAGAACCCACATTCAGCACAGACGTCGACATCCAGTGGACAGCTCTTACGCAGACCCAAAATTTGCTCACCAAACTATCCGGCGCACCCTACACCTCCATTCTGTCCCCTTCACGACTAGCCGACGTCTTCATAGCAAGGGGTGATACTGATCTCTTCCGCTTCCGTATCTCGCTCTTCGAGGGCGCGAAGCCTGCTTGGGCGAAGAGTGGGCCGACTTTGGTTTCCAATGCGGGTGTCTTCTACCGAGGAGGAAGGAGCTATGCGGAGAAAGCTGGTGTGCTCGGAGTGCGGAGCACGGCGGATGCTAAGGCGGTTGTAGCTGAGATATTGAAGGCGGTGGCGAGTGGTTCGGAGATGACGAAGGATACCTGGAAAGGGAGGACTGCGGATGTACCGAGGGTTTTGGAGCAGATGGTTGATGAGGGCATCGTGGGGCGCGAGAACGTCGATGGGTTGATGAATTGGATCTAGGATTTACAGCAACGTGCTTCAATGTCAGAATCCCGAGGAAGACTAGTTTCAAGCTTGTCGGTGAGCTCACTCGCGGTGAAAGTCTTTATTGCGTTCAATTGAAGGTAATGCTGAAAAAAAGCGTTTGACGGGACGATCTACGCCCTGTGGGACACACTGTACACTACAATCATCGGCTCCGCCTTCCAGATAAGGTCGTTCCTTCGTCTGTTGTTCTACGTTTCTCATATGCCACCCTCGGTGCCTGTCTGGCTGCTGGTACGCCTGGCTTCAAGCCATTCGCCATGGCTTCTAAAAAGCCAATGTTTGACTTCCTTCCCTTCGCGCCTGAGCCTTCAGCCTTTCCATTTTGTTCGCTTTGGAGAGCTACCAGAGCATCAGCCTGACCAGATTTTGATCTACGCAGCTCTGTCTTCCGAGGAACTCCCGGAGCCAGAAGTTCAAATGCTGAAACACGCCGTACTATCTTTTCTCGACTTGGTCGACGTGGAACTTGGTTATCTGGTGTTTTGCTCGACTGGTCAACCCGTTGATCTTTTCTTGTGTCAAGCTTTCTGATGTTGGCGGTAGCCGGTATTTGTGCGATATATTTGTCATGTTCTTCTCCACTGTTGAGGAAGTGGCTTGGTCTGTCGCGATCTTGCTTAAGCACTGTCTCGGAAGACATCGCATCTTCTACATTCAGGGTACGGTCTTCAAGGTTGTCCTGATCTCTGCGTTCGGGAATCTGCGCCTGCAGTTGATGAACTTTATCCTCCAAATTCTCACATGCAGCCTTTATTTCAGTCAATTCTCCATCGCGACCAGACAGCTCATACTGCAAGTTCTCGATAGCTGTCTCCGCTGTCTGGAGGTCCTTCTCTTTTTGTTTCAACACCTCGTCATGCTTTTGTTTTAAATCTTCGACATGATCCGCAACTTTACGCTTCGTTGCATTCACATACCGTTCATGCCGAGTTCGAGTCTTCCTGGCTTCATGTCTTTCTGTCCTGAGCTCTTCCGTCAACTGTTTCGTCTTTGCAGCAGCATCTACCATCATTCTGAGCTCTGATTGAGGTACCAATGTTCTTTTGCAACAGTCGCCAAAGATCGAAGGGTATGCGTCATGGGATGTGATGCCATGAAGAAGCTCAACAGCCTTGGGTCGGCGTTTCGGGTCTGCTGAAAGCATAAGGCTGATCTCGTATTCCAGGTAGTGTTCTCTCCGGGAAAAATGGGTGTCATCAGTTTCTAGCCACGTTGATAGATGGCTGACATTCGCATGATATGCCGGATTTGCTCCTCGATGCGCTCTCAAGACATGTAGCGAGCCTCTCCTGTTCAAAGTGAGAATTTCAAGAAGCACACAACCTAGGGAGAACATATCCGCTGCTCGTCCATTCGGTTTCCATTCCGCTACCCTGTCAATGTTTTTAGTGTTTGACTAAACTGGAAGCAAGATATCAAGACTCACTCCGGAGCGAAGTAACGTGGCGTGCCGCGTTCATTGTCCGTCGCACTCTGCGAAAGTAACGTAAAGTCTGTGGCGCTGCCAAAATCGCTTAGCCATAGCCGACCTGGCGAAAGAAGTATGTTTGATGGCTTCAGATCTTTGTGCCTGATTCTCTGTTCGTGTAAATACGTGATAGCCGATACTAGACAGCCCATCTTGCAGTAAACGACTGATGCCCAATTGCCTTTCTCGCCTTGTGGGAAGTCATAGTTGAGAGCGTCTAATCGTGCGTCGACATCAGTACCCAGGGCTTTGCGTAGCTTCTCTGAGGTATTTCTCTCTGTTACAGCTTTAGACCATGCCTCAACGTCTTCGAAGAACGTGTGCAAGTCACATACAGCTACCGGATACATTAGAATGCCCAAATGCCTTCCCTGGGTATACGTTCCAATCAGTTGAACGATGTGTACGTGAGAAAGTCGCTGGAGTATTTCGACCTCTTTTCTCTCAACTCTTCCGATACGGCGCTTGAAGAGTGTTCTTTTGTGGGCAACTTTGTAGCCCTGAATACTGGTCTCATACACGTCGCCCATGGCCCCTCGACCGAGAAATCGACCTGGCGATGTTATCGTTAGGCTTGCTGTTACGATAAATGCCCGAAACGTGTACCTACCTTGCACGATAGGAAGAGTTTCTTCATCGCCAAAATCGACATGAGATCCTCTACCAGTTTGAGACCAATCCTCAATATCGATATGATCTCTGCTAGAAGAAGTGGCATCCTCGACAAGGGTTTCGTCCGCCTGGAGAGAAGTCGACATATTGCCCCGGCCTTGAGTCTCTCCCGCCTCAGTGCGTATATCAGGCACGCTGCCCATGGCTCGCAAACGGGGCCGCAGGATGCGACGGCGAAGCGATGTATGCGGAGAGAAATTCAGTTCCGGGTAGCATCGATGTGTTGCTGTAATGAATGATGAGGGAAGCAGATGTGAATCGCGGCTGAGGTGAGCTGCGCCTTCAGCGAGGCGCTGTAAGAAGACTGCATATGCACATGAAGGCACAGCAGCCAATCGCACTCAGTGCATATATGTGGCCCCCAAAAGCTGAGGCGGTGCCCTCAGCGAACCTGTGCATGCTCAGGAGATGATACGAGGTTCAATTGGCATTCACGCATAGAGTTGTTGGGGTCGCAACGTCATAGCCTATATTTCCTAGGGCAGATGACTGCGCATGCATGCTATGGTCTTCTTCACACCGTAGCGCATCCTCATATCTTACAACGATATTTTCTCCTTCTCTCGTCTACCCTTACAGCCACGAGATTTTGTATATGAAGTACATGAACATACCCAAAGTGGGCTTTGCTCATCTCTGTCCAGCTAGCCTCCGCTCCTGGACCTCAGACAAAGCCCGGCTACCGCTCAGGAAAGCAACAACTCCTACAACGGCAGCAGCCGGCAAAGTCTGGAAGAGGTTCCAGCTGGTGTAGTACAGGAAGAAAATGCCCTCCATCGCCAGTATGGATCCATAAAACAGCCCGTGCGACACGGGTGCGTTGCCCAGCGCCTTGCTCAGGTGGTTGGCATTCGCGCCAAGTGTAGCCCATACACCGAGAAGGATCGGCAGCGCAGCAGCAACAGCAGCCGCGAACACAATCGTTATGATCTTAGGTGGAGACTTAGCATCCTCTTTGAAGATGTGGTGGATCTCAGACTCGGCGGCGTAGCGGACGGGCGGCTCGGGGACGCTGAGAGGGACGCTGGGGTCGCGGGTGACGGCGAGGTCGAACGCTTTGCTCTTGTATGGCGCGGAAGAGCCGAATGATCCAATGACGATCGATGCGACGATTGGTTTCTCGGATGTCAGGAATTGGTGGGGTAGGTCCTTGTGAGACTGGATGTGTTAGCTATGCTGGCAGCCATTGCAACGCTTCACGTACCAAATCAACCTTTCCCTTTCCGCTGTCCTTTACATTGAACACAAAAGACTCTTCCAAGCCCGTCGTTGGTTCGGTCAGAGTAAGGAATGCCTGATGAGGTCGCTTCGCGGTGCTTCCATCGAGGGTTGTGAGGACAAGCTTCAATGTATCCGTTGCGCCCAACGATACAGATTTGCCCAGCGGTGTCGAAGGACTCAATCTAGATGCTCATTAGTCTTGCCATAATTGCACATAATGCAAGTTTGAGCTCACTTGTCCTTTGAACCTCCGCCAACACCAGCACCTTTGCTGGTAATAGTCACGGTGGCATCCTCAAAGCTCCATGAGGAAGCTGCGGAGACAATAGCCGCGCCTGAAAGTAAAAGGGAAGAAACGAAGCCTTGAAGAACCCTCATCGTTGCTGATTCGGAAAGAGTGAACGCGGAGCTGTCAATGTTGCGCCGACACAGACGTAAGCGTGTCCTTTGCCAAGACTTCGACCGGCATGTTCCGGCGCTAGTTGCCCATGCCTTCCCTCGTCAACTCAACTCACACGCGCGGAGAGCGACGTCATGTATCATTCCCGAGGCCATATGGGGCCGCAGTCAATAAGTATAGTCACAATGATAAAGACCCTTCGATAATTGCGTCTCTCTGCAAGACTCACACATATAGACAGCCATACTAACGGACCTTTCTCCTGCGCAACAGCATCCTCCACCTCCGCTTGGTCTTTGGAACCTCATCTTCTGGATTCTCTGAAACCTCTGGATCCTCTATTTCCTCTGGATCATTCAGATCCGCTACCCACAGCACATGAAGTATCAATCTTACCCAATCTCTTTCATCCTTCGGAAACATCTCCATCCATTCATCTTCCACAGCCACCAAGCAAGACGCATCCCCAGCTTTATGCTTTCCGTGCGTTGCATGACGATACATCACCAGAAACCGAACCCCCCGCGTCGAAACCAGCGTCCTAAAGATAGCGAATCCCAAATCCGGTACTCGAAGGTGGTAGTTATTGAATGCAAACGGATCCACCATCACATTACTTCTCAGAACCCGATAAGGATCATAACCTAACTCTCCCAACCTAACAACAGACGCTTTCCTCAAATCCTGTATCCTCTTCTCAATCACATCCGTCGTAACAGCATCTCCAATCCTCCTCTTAAAATCCAATTTCTGCTGCAGCTCATCCAGTCCGCGTGGCGGATACACAGCAGCATACTCCGGCTCCCCATATATATGATATCGAGCAGTGCTATAGTCGGTTTGCCAACACCTAGCTATGGCTTCTGAGATATCGTGCTTGTCACTCTCGCTGACGTTGTCGGTATAGTATTCCGGTTGCTGCCACCATTCTGTTCGGCAGAGTGGGCATCGCCGCGAAGAGCCGGATGAGGTGTCGAGGCTCATCTGGTGGACACAGGCTGAGCCGAGGATGTGGTTGCAGCCGGGGAGGTTTATGATGGCGAGGGCCTTATCGAGCATTTGGAGGGCGAGGTTCTCGCTGCCGTAGGGGAGCTGGCAGATGGCGCATGTGTCCTGTTCTGAGAATAGGTTCGGTTGCTTGGTGGAGGTGTGGTTTGCGAGGAATTGTGAGTAGGTTCGGGGTGTGGAGCACTTCGTGCAGCAGGGGTTGTTCTCTGCTGAAGTGGCGGACATGGCTATCTCGGAAAGGGGCGGCTTTGGTGAGAAACGCGAGATGTCGTGGTGAGAAGAAGGATAAGTATTTCAGCAACTATATGAAGCGCACTCCATGGAAGAGCCAGTGTTAAGTGTTATCTAATTCATGGTTTGTGCCTGCTACGCTTGATCCTATGGAAGTGAAGTGTTGAATGTGATTTCGATGTGGTGAATGACATAAATTCTAACTCCTGAAATATTCATTGGGTATGTTATGTCGTTTTATGTTACAAAAGGTCGCATCCGTGGCTAATACCACAGCCTCGTAGCGCGTGAAGCGCAGGTGTTCGTGTAGTGACAGATTGCTCGTGAAGATCTGATCCCATATTCCCCGGATCTTACTCCTACAACACGCAGTATATATACAACGAGGGTGTATCGTTTAGAGTGTGACGTGCATCTGCATGCACTCCTCTTCTGTCAATCCTTGTCGCCAAAGGAGTGCTCGCGGTGTCGTCTTTTCAAACTGTCGTCGAGTTCCCATGATTTCGAGTGTTTATTTTCCGACAGTCTTGTCCTTCAACTCCTTCGTCTTCTCAGCGACCATATCAGTCACACCCTTGGCCTCCTCTCCCACTCCCCTCGCCTTCTTGGCCATTCTGTCCTTCCAGGCCTTGTCTTCCTCATCTCGCATCTCCAACTCCCTGAGCCACCTATCCCTCTTGTCCATGCGCTCCTTCTGCGCAACTTGTTTCTCGTACTCCTTTCGCTTCACGCGATCCTTTTGCCAGTACATATTTCCAGCTACCAGGACGGCGATTGTGAAGGCTTGGGCATATAGACGTCGGCGGAAGTACATGTTGGTCGCCTTGTGGTCGCCTTTCCGCATCGAGCGGGTTGCGCCGATGATGGCCCAGACGGTCAGGCCGCAGCCGAGGGGAACGAGGGGCTCTTCGCGGAAGCGGCGCCATATCTTGTCGAGGGTGTTCTCATTGTAGAAGTCGCTGGATGACGTAGTTAGTAGAAGTATCTTATTTAATCCTCAAGATTGGCTAGAAGGGTGATTGAGTCTACATACGCATTCTCGTCGAAAGAAGAGGGCAGCGGCGCGCTGTTTGGTGGTCCGAAAGACATGGTGGGTAGTATGCAGATGCAGATGCGGAGGCGGAGGCGGCGGAGGTGTCGCGTGGGTAGAAGTATACAATGACAGGGTCGTTACATGAACCCGCAGATTGAGAAGATAGCGCTAGCTCTGACTGCGCAGATGGAAGCTATACAGAAGCCCTGGAAGCGCTATTACAGGTATAGAGTGAGTTGTGTATGGCTTCAAGATGCGGAGCAATCGATTATCTCACCACTTCGGCCATCGGCCCTTCCTGATGTTCCAGGCCCGATGCGCGCGAGTGGTGCCTACAACTACATGACCAGAGCTGCGCGAACCACGACAGCCCGGGTCAAGCATCTCTATCCACTCCAAACCACCACGTCGCCTTCAATGAGAGACGAGGCGACAGGCAAACTCCCCTCGCTGCGCCATGAACGATGAGGCCGAGTCGTCTCGAGCTACTCAGCGCCATGACAACACGGCGGCATCCCACCCGACCGATCTAGAGGATGCGCTGGCCCGCTTTGAAGAGGCGGAAGAGCGAGAGAAGCAGAAGCAGGTCAAGCAGCGGAAATTGGATGCGAAGAGGAAGCGCATACAGATGCTGGGCGAGCTGTTGCGCGAATTGGACATGATCGTCTACCTGGAACTCATTACACTCTACCACCTGGAGTACGCTTACCGTTCACATGCTGCTGCTTTGCGCTAATCGTTCCTGTAGCTGCTCGTTCTTCTGGCTCCTGTTCAAGGCACTTACACATGCCTTCCTGCTGACGCCCATCCCCGATACCGCGACCGTCACCCGCCCACCAGACGAACCGAGGCCCTTCCTCCCGCTGCTCCTGATATCGTTTGGAGTAAATTTCCTCTTACATCTTACATATCCCGCGCCATCGGCTAGCGAAGATACCCGAGGCTATCTACATGGCGGCTTGATGATAGACTTTATCGGGCAGCAGGGGCCCACGAGCAAGTGGAAGCTTGGGGCGCTCGACATATGCATCCTGTTCCTGCAGCTTGTCATGGTTTCGGTACACGTCAAGAGGCGGGAGCTGAAGAAGAAACTGGCCAAACTGTCAGCTGGTGGGGGTGCGCCAAACACCACTACCACCCGAGCCACGTCAGACTCGGCACCAACAGCGACGGCAGCGGCAACGAATGATAACGCGAACCGAGATCAGGATGCCGATGATGAGGAACGAGGTGTGTTACACCGAACCGATACGCTGTCAGACTTTGGCATGGATCCCGAAAACGAAGAAGACGCCCTACTACCATCATCCTCCGAATCTGGCCATGCCGACGCTATGGAGCTTCTTAGTTCGGGTCAGTGTGTCATTGGCGACTTCACCCTCATCGACACCCTCCTGCAAGAGAACCGAGATTACGCGGCTTACCGATTGACGCGCACCGAGAGCGGCAACAACGACATGCCGGAAACGCTACGGCGGCTCAATACCTTGCGAACTCGTTTCGGCGTGGGTGGCGGGTGAACGCAAGTAAGACGTTATCTTATCATCGCCTTGCTCCGATGCACGTGTTCCAACCAGCTCCGCGGTGACACTGCTGTGACATGCCATGCACGTTGTCCCAATGACTTATTGCATGCAGCACACAAAGCCACCGCGTACGCCTAACTCATGCACGTTCGGCTCGGGTGCCCCCACGCGTTCGTTTCCCGTTGTAAGACGGCTGAGATGGCTTTGTTGCAAGCATTGGTGGCGCCGTGCTTGGACTACCCCAGTAACATTATGCGACGTGCAGTTGTGTGATCGCTTAGTTGTGGCGGTACATCGAGCAGATCACGATGGTCTTTGTATGCATGAACGGGCCTGGGGCACTTCGGTTAAGGGGCACATGCGGTGGAAATACCACTGCATTACGATCCCACACCAGCTGCGCATGATGCCAATGTCGCTTGAGATTCCGGACAATTACTCTATGCCGCTCCTCATATCATGGTACTCTATTGGAGAGCGATATCTACCTGGCCTTAAGCGATGGAAGAGACGTGGGTTATAGCAAGCCGGGATTGTTGGTCAGAGCTAGACTATTCCAAGATGTTTGCCAAATGGCACCCACAATACTGCAAAGATTGCCAATACAGTCAGCACTGGTACTGCAGCGTTTTGCCAGTCACCGGGAAACTTGATCAGCCAATAGATCCAGAAGCCGAATGCGGCAAGTAATGGCACGAGGTGATAGACTGCCATGAAAGCGAAGGAGATTGCGTGATCAGCCTCTAGTCCCCAAGCAACAGCGATGGCATCGTCGGACTGTATGTCGAACTCGCTTTTCTTTTTGGGAATACAGCCTAGTCTGTATGAGCGGCATGGTAGACTCACACAATCGTGCCATGGGTTGAGCCATGGCCATTTGCAGTTCATGTCGCAGGCTTTGAGGCAGACTGCGAATGTTTTGGGTGATATCATGGGGTTTGTACCTGGTCCTGGGTCGTATTCGTAGTCGTCTTTAACGCTAGGGTAGTCGGGGAGGTCGTCGCCTTGGGACAAGACTCGCCCGGCGTCGAACTTTTCGAGTTTGACGAAGCGGCAGAATCGAAAGCGAAATGGTGAAATGAGTCTCTTGATCCAATGTCGATGTTTCTTGTATCGTGTTTTGAGCTCGCGGAAGAAAGCGGGATCGTTCAGCAGAGCTGTACTGATCTGCTCGACTTCTAGAGACCATCGCGATCCTTGCACTCCGAAAAGGACGCGCAATGATGGGTCTGGGACTACGATCGACGGATTGGTGACTGGCTGACCTGCAATCTGCGGTGTGGAGTTGCTATTATTGATCGCGGAAAGGTTGGTGCTGGTTCCACCTGCAGCTGCTGAGTTAGTCCCTGTTGTGGACGTCGCAGGAGGGTTTGTCGGAGTATAGCGTTGGCTAGCTGTCGATGAATGGGAAGGGCTTGCTGCTGTACCAGCAGCCGCCTTACTCCAGGTCATTGGGAGATTCAAGCACCATTGGCTAGTTTGTGGCTCCGGGACACAATCGACAGACTGTGGGGAAGTTGCACTAGACGTCTTTTCTGGGCGCTCGAGGTGACAGCAAAAGCATTGTTTGGGATGGTCTGGCAACGAAGGCATGGCGTACCGAATGATGTTCGATTCGAGCGAAGACAATGTCTCATATAATTGAACTCCGCCGAACTGTATGATTTAGAGATCTTTCTAGGATTGTTATAGATGACAAGAAACGTACCTTCCAATGGAGACGGCATTCTCCATACGCAATCTCAGGTACGCGAGGAGCTAAGGGCCACCAGTCCCATTCCGCCATTGTGTGATCCTCAAGGAAAGCCTTGGTTTTATTGGATAATGATGTATCGTTCCTCTCCGACAAGTCGATCGCGCGTTTTGGTACACTTGAAAGAAGTTGCCGCAATGGGTCGCGACAGACCAGGAGTGCGAGGTCTCTATTGAGATTATCGTAGGGTGCAGGACATTTGAGGTCGTCTCCTTCTCTGGACAGCAATTCCAGGAGGAAGCTCGTATCTGTTTCCGTGCCGCATTTTTCGTCCTTCTCAGATGCTAAGTTAGCGTCGACGATCTCCAGACGCAGTGCGATAGCAGAAGCGATGGGCTGCCATGTGGTGATTAGCTGTTCGTCAATGCTATCTTCTATACTGCTATCCACCTTGCGATCGAGAGGCGCGTGAGCATTGCTGTGTAGCAAATCGGAGAAATCGTCGACAAAGCGATCTATTCCCAGAACACGAAAGGCGTACAGGTACAATTCAAGTAGCGGTCGGTCATGATTGAGCATCTCAAAGCAGTCGCTCTCGATGGCGGACTCCATTGATCGTGCATGCGCATCAGTTCGCGGGTCCGGCTTCTGAGATTCGTTGATTCCTCCTTCTACATTCATATCGTCCTGCTGCACGATTGTCGGCTTTCTCGACCACCTTTTCGCCGATACGAAGTTTTGCAAGTCCGCCCGGAGCAGCCTAAATGCTGCACTCTGAATCAGAAACTCGCGGATGTTCGTGAGCTCTTCAAAGACAGTTTCATCCACGTTTGTTTCCTCGTATTCATCTTCGTCCGACGAGTCCTGATCATCAGGCCTAGAGAGAGTTACTTCTCTTTCTTCTAGTTCGTCCAACTCTGGCGCTTTGCCTAGCTGATATCTCTCCAATATGGCTTCTGAGATCTCTCGTGCCTTTAACGCCACCAAACGAGCAGCAAGAAAATCCAAGCGATCCTGTGCCTCGTCTTTGAGTCTATCAGCAAACGCTTTCAGCAGCCGCCTGAAAGTGTTCGCAAATCTCCGAGGTCCAACGATACCATGAATGGCGGTTGTGTAGAGTGGTTGGAGATTGTCATCGTCTCGAAATATTGAAAGCAACTCTCGAGTTGCTGTCGCAATTTGCACTGCAGAATATCCGCTACCCTTTGATAGATCAGTAGCGGAAGATGCGAGAGACGAAATGGAAAACACGGAGCCTTCGTTTGATGATGTTACTGACACATTGTCATCATAATCAGGATTTGTGGGGTACTCAGAATCCAATGAGCTCATATCTTGTACGGCTTCCGACGTGCCAAGCCAATATTCGATTTCTGAATCTGAGAATACATCCTCAATAATGTCCGCCGTGAAGTTATCTGGCCCTGGCGACGAAGTTGAAGGCCAATGAACAATTTCGCCTGGGACTGGGCGAGATGCTTTTGAGAGTGGCGGCGACCGTTCTTCAATTGATACGGTGCTCGGTATACCAGTTGGATATGTTACCGATGTAGTCGTACGAGGAGTTGTGTTATGGAGTATTTCCGCTGAAACGAAGGGTTTGCGAGAGCGATGGCGTAGGCTGCGTTCTATCGCTTTGAGGAGGCTACAAACTTCCACATATCCAGCAGGAATTTCTACGCGAACCAGCTTGTTATCCTCCTCGGTCGTGCTGTAAATCGCGCCGTCGGACCTTTGGTACAAATATCTGTGACACACGATGTCAAACCAGTTACTAGTCAGTCTTATTTACGGTCAACTTACCTAGCTACGTCTTGAGCCAGACCATGGCCCACGTCACATAGCTGTTCATGATTGCGGTGAACTTCGTACAGATTATGACAGTGCTCACACTTCCGAACATGCATTTCGAAATGGTAGCATGCCCAGCTTTCCGCCGTAGTGACTGGGCGCGAGAAGCTGTCTACAGGGTCTTCATAGAAACCAACAACTCGGCCATGACTGCTTGAACTTGCATGAACAGCAGGCTGCATAGTTGTGCGTATCAACTGCTACATCGAACAGAATACTTCACTGCACTGCGTTTTCGTTACTGCGCTGGTAAAACTGTCCGTCGCGAGAATTCCTTAAACAAAATAGCATACGACGCCCGAGAGCCACCAGTCATGCAATCGACTTTTGCTGTGCGAAAATTTGGTAAGGTTAGGTAGAGGATGAGAGAACGTGCCCACAGTAACTCTCTGTACTGTATTGCCAGACGTTAAGCTACACCAAATTCTCCCACCTCATGCACGCCATCTACTCAAACCACTGGCCATTACTGGCTGGATAGTAATCTTGGTAAGGCACCGCCCGCTCTGGGGGAGCCTCGACGATAGGTGCGCATGCAAACCCTGCACTATACCGCGCGCCTGACTCACCTGCATGCATCAGATCATCTCCGCATTTACCCAAATCAACCCCATAGCAAATGTAACGTCAACATGCGCCCATCTCCCCAGCATCGCACACCGATGACGGCAGCGCCGGGCGCCAGTTTGCCAAACGCCCCATACCGCCCGACGTCAGCCGTCCTACCAGTGGCGACGAAGAGTCGTGTGTCTCGCCAATCTCCGTTTTGAGGGGCGAGATTGGGGCCTCCATTCGACGCTCAGCGTTGTGTGCTGTCCAATATCGAGGTTCCGTCTTACGGCAGATTTAAGCGGTCGTGCCGACATGCACAGCATGCGAGATCTTACGGGTAGCCAGTGCCGCTCTGCTGCAGAACCAGGTGTCTGCTGCAAGACTTACATTGCTTGCGCAAACGTGGCGTGAGTGCTCTCCCGCGCAGGGGGGAGGGGCTGCGTGTGATGGTACGCTGTATACGGAGTGGTCTACTGCCTTCACGAGATGGATGGATCTCGCTCGTGGGATGGCCATGCGAAACCTGATTGCGAAAGCGGGAATAGTCAGACTCGACACGTCGGGAAGTACAGTTATCGTCCACCAATACTTGCTGTCGCCTATCGCGCCTTCTATCTCAAGCAACTACACGTGCGTTGTGTCACCCACCTATTACCCACCCACCTTCATTTCCACATGGCGAACATGGAAGGTAGGAATAACAAATCATATTATGGAGCAGCTTTTGGAGGACCCTGCATGGCCAGTTCGTATCGGAGGCCCTTTTGCAGTGATTCGCGCGAGCCGCGTTTTGCTCGCATTCCTTCGATTCTCAAGGTCGTCTCGGAACAGGAAAAGGACCTATGTACTTCGGCTGCCGCGACGCGAAGCTGCGTGGGATGAATAGCATAATGTACAAGGTAGTGAAACAGAGAAGGATGGCTGAGTCTCCAGTCGTGGTCAAACTCTGCGTTTGCGTCCTCGATCACACGAAAGGTCGTCGAACGTTACTCTCTCATCTCATTCGCGACCGCACCACATGCTCGCGGATGACGCGCGCCCGGTCAACGGGCGGGTTATAACGGAAGCACGGATCGGAACGTCGAACGACGCACCGAAACCCAAATCCCTCTCATGGTTTATTCGCCTCGACATGCACCCACACACCGCCAAGAATAGCATGCCACCACATGGTCCCACCTTTTGATGATGCGTGTGGGGAGCTCAACGATTGGCGGAAGCTTAACCTGCCTTCTGAGCAAAAGACTAAACTTTGTCTTAAATTTTTCTAATTGGCGGGGTTGGCTTGCCTTGCGAGGGTGCGAGTAAGCAAGTGATTTGACACCTTATGATATGCAGCGCGTGGGCCGACTCAGTTGCGTCCCCGTTCCTTGCTGCGTGTTGCGTCCTCGCAAAAGAAGTTAGCATGCTCACGTGACTGATCCAAGAGCTCGCTTGCTTGTCACTCCTTTACAGGGCTTTGTCAGTGCTGACATGCATGGGCCACGGCGTGTTGCACCGCGTGGCTTGCATGGTTGGGCTCTGAGTTCAGCGTCCTGGGGAAGGCGATGCACATTTCTGACAAGGATAATGCTGGTGTGATGCATACGTGATCCGACAGGACGGTTCGGCGTTTGGGCTAGCTGCAGCATGGAGGGTGGGTACGTGCGGGATTATAGAACTGGCGAGCGTGCCATAGGCGATGCGCGACATGCGATGCAAGATGCGATGCTGAACTCGTTGCGACTTTACTATACCTAGGCACTTGACCCGCTCCGCCGGCTCTCGTTGGGGTGAGACACCTGAGTGGACGGATTTAGTCATGTCTGACACGACTCGCTGCATATTGCATGCCGCCGCTTGAGGTTATTGGTAATTGCGCCAGACTCCATACGTACGTTGACAACGGATCTTGATGTAATAGGATTCATATCGGTTGCAAGCTGCCTTCAATATGTGCTACTGAGGACGGTTGGGGAACTCGTGTCGAAGCGCAAGTGCTCACGATCATGCATGTAATGAAGTGGGGTGTGCGAGTCTTGCCCCACAGTTCTGCAGATTCCTGGGTGTATTCTAGTTGCGAAGATCAATTTTGCGCAGCAGGATCGCCATGTCTTCTCGAGTCAAAGAACTTGTAAGGGGTTTATCGCGAACACATTCGGCAGGTGCGAAGAATTCAGTTTGAAAAGAGCGCCGTGCGATATTTGCTTTGTCGCCCTGCAACGTAAGGCGAAAATACCATGTAACCCTCCTATGCGCCAGATATACAAGGTCATTGACTCAGTCGTACGATCCGGTGAAGATTCCGCCCATGGCCCGCTGGATGGAACAGCATCGTCGTGCAGTAAAGCAAATATTACATGCAGGCGGAGGAGCGCGATGTCATCGTGTGACAAGATGAATCGATAGAGGAGCACGAATAAGTCCGAGAGAAACGACTTTGGCGCTGTGCAGATCCAATTCCATGGAGACAGCCCCTATGGCGTTGTATCGACATGGCAGGAATATGCGGTGTGAACTATAGGTACACGTGTCGAGAGTCGGTCATCTGGATGTGTGTGGAGTCCCTCTAAACCGCGGATGTACTGTCCTCCCACATGAATGGACCCATTATGCAAGTCAAAAAGATACCGGCTGCAAGGGATGCAAAATGGGGAAGTTGATCCGGAATGTGAATCCCAGCGTGCGCCTATAGACTCCGCAATCAGCAACATGAGGTTTCTTGTGCCGTGATGCTGAAGCGGAAAAACGAAAGCACGCATCGGCAGTTGCAAGCGACCGAGACGTGCTGACAAAACCCGAGGCATCTACCCAGCCTTTCGCGGTCGGCCCGAGTAGCGAGCAGTATTCGGGTAAGCACAGCAAAAGAAGATCATGAGCCGGAACCGCTGCAACATGCGCAGTCTTACAGCCTTGTCACCCGCCGCAGAGGTAAACGGTGAGCAAGTGTTGATCCTAGACACAGAAGCCGGCGTGATTGGGTGGATCTTTGTCCCCGGTCGCGGCATGTCATCAATCAAGACCCTTGTACGACGGCGGCTCTGCCTAGGTAGTTCTTCCAGATGCGTAGGATCACGGGTCAAGCGGCTGGCTCGTGGGTAAGCTAGGTTGCATCCTTGTAACGCATGCTGCAACTTGGAAAGGATTTTAGTGCTGCTCTTTGCACGTCCACCCGCATCATCATTGCGAGTCAGCTTTACACCGGATGCTGGTAGATATAGCGTTCGCGGATGTGATGGCATCGAAAGTGGAGAGATGGCGGTGAAGGTGTTGCGTGCGCGCTTCGGGGGCCCGGCAAATCTGAGATTAGGCCCGATGACGAGGGTGGTGATCAAGAGCCATGTCGTGCATACAGCGGCACAGCAGCTAGCCCCTAAGTATGTCATCGTGATGATTGGCCCAGACGCCCAAGTGAAGAGTCCAATGAGTAGCGCTCTGGACAATTCGATTGCGACATCTTTCCTGTTGTTGTGTGGGTGGTCCTTGTACAGGACTAGTAATCAGTCGCGGTGTTTGCGACAGCCAACTTGATGTTGCTGCTCGCATGTTCTTACATGCTATGCAAGCACCGTGGCACAACAAGATTTTACTGCCTGGACAGACACTGTCAGCAGCATCTCAGTCTCTAGTGTCGGGGAGAACGCCGTCGATATTGTATTTCTCCGGAGACTTCCCCATCGAGGCAATCTATGGCAGGCCGTCTTCTGTCAGCTTGGAGCGGCTTCTGGAAAACGATGAGAACCACAATTTGGCCGAAGGCGGTATATTCGTCCCTTGATCGCTGTGCGTAAAGAAAGGCGTGCACAAGAGCAGGATAGTTGATGGCTGGACCGTGCGGATGTGATGTTGATATTCGGACCGTTTTGAGGAAGGTTCAGACTACTGCGAGTTGGGAAATAATATGGTGTGGTATAATAGGCCATCGGAGAGGTCCCAGACAGCATTATCGATATCGATCCTATGCCCAGTCCACCCAGATTCCGCAGCCTAGTGTTTAAGCTGACAGAAACACGGGCGTCACTTGAAGTTTGGACCTAGTGACCAACAGTGACGGGCTGTCAATAGACCTCCCAGATGACGAGAAAAGAAATTCTCCAAAGGGCGCTATAATGCCGTACATAAAGTTCCGGGCAAGCTCTAGAGATGGCGCCGAACAAGCCAACGGACCGCGCCGGAGGCGTCTCCGTTAGCTGACAAGCGAAACACGGAACTTAAACTTTGGCCAACTCATAACTTCCTGCTTTCCAGTACAATGGTCATGTGGCTACCGACCTGTCTGACGGGATCTTGGGGACTCTGTCTAAACTGATTCGTAAAGGTGTTGCGAGCACGAGGCTCTAGTCATACAAGTGTCTGTGCGCCTTGTGGTAGTCTTTGCGGTGAGTATGCAGCACCAACGTGTCGCGTCTGGTGACACAGTAGGTGCACTATCATCGCCGCACGCTTGTTAACAATGTGGAGCCTTTGATGAAACCGTGGAAAACACAATGACACACTTGGGTACACTCACCTGGACGGCTGGAGACCGGAGAAGAACGCCGACCTACTACTATAGTAGTCTCGAACTCAACATCCGCCACTTCGGATCGCTTACCCAGAGTGAGTTTTGAACTTTCGACGGCTGTCTTCACCAAGGTGCGACAAGAGTGACGCATTTGGTATAATGTGATGGCGCCCGTCCGAAGACCCTTTAGTGGTCAGCGACGTCTGCGAAATTGAGGCTGCACTCGGTATGGCGCCGGCCTCGTTCGCTAAGGCGACAGCCGGATAGGGACTTTTAGATTCTGGAGGTGAACGGCGGCATTACCCAGTTCGTCATGCCGTATCCGAAACTCAATTTTGATCATCGCCTGATTTCGGGGAACATAACAGTCGAGTTGCATCGGTTAGGTGGTCTATGATACGTTGGGCGTGAACGTCGCATTGGGTTCAGACGTGCCGGCTGTCTCGCCTGCGAGATCCCGAAGAGAACGGCGATTAAATGAATGTTACCATGGCTAGTACCATTCACGCGGAAGCAGTTCCTAAGCGGCGGTTGATCCCGGCTTGTGACGGAACAACCCTCCAGGAACCATCATGATGGCAGATGTGGTGAATTTGTACGGGTCGTTTGCAGCAAAGGGATGTAGTTCGATTGTCCTTGGTATCTTTGAGTAGGCACTCACATCCACCATGTCTTTTGCTGAAAGGCGCATATGAGGTAGTACTGTACATGATGAAAGCGACGAATATCAATCTTGATTCGATGACAGCGATGAGAATTATCCGTGAGGACAAGAGATTCTATATGCAATTTGGTGAAGACCGATGATGGACAAAGAACGAAAAGAGCTAGGGTATAACGCAGATATGTGCTCGCAAAATTGCAGAAGCTGGAAACAACCACCCAAGCGATATACATGCATCGTTGACACATGCTTGAGAAAGAATGTAAATAGAAATAAAGTGGTCGACGTGCGAGCGCAAGCCGAGTAATAATGTTGTAGGCTGATCAAAGCACCAATGCTTCCTCTTCAAGGTATGGCCAATTGTCTAGGCGTGGTGCTCGTATCGACGAGCCTCAGGTGGGAAGGAGTCGCGGTAAGCAGCTTGTTTAGGCGCAGGATGGTGAGGACCTGTCGTTTGCGCCTGTTGGTGCTGTGGGTACTGATGAGGCTGGGTAGTATGCTGTGCAGAGGGGTGGTTTACAGGGGCAAAGGTAGATGCAGGATAGCCATGTGAGTCGTGGCTAGAAGGCGCCTCGGCGTGGTGAGGGCCAACAGCTGGATGATAGCTACTGGTTCTCCTTCGGACGTTGCGCTCCTCCTCACGAAGTTCCTCTTCGTAGTCGTCATACGAAGCCTCTGAGCCATGTCCGGTTGTGGAAGATGGTGCGCGTGACGGTGCTACCGAAACACGCCTCAGCCGAGGCGACGGCGGTCGGGTGATGTGGCGTTCTGGGTGAGCTTGCATGGCAATCGATCTCCAGTAGTCCCTCTCAGAACGATAATATTCGGCATCCTCGTTCGAGTCGCGGACGCTCTGTTCCAGTCTCGATATACTCATGGAAGCTTCACGCTCTTTTTCCTTCCTTCTTGCACGGAAACGTGCTGATGCGCCAGCATTACGCCTCCTCTTCTCATCGGCGCCTTTGGATGCGGTTTGGGTTTCCACTTGAATGTTGTGCAGAGACCCGTCCTGGCTCTGGATTGTCATGAGCTGAACACTGCTCTGGTTGGATGGGGCCATGGCTATCATGCTATTGCGTTCACTCTCCATGGATACAGACCCCTGACGGGAATCGTGCACTGGGGTGTGTCTTCGCATTTGGCCGTATGGTCCTTGAGTACTGTGGTTGTCGTACTGGCTCGACGCAACAGAGGCTGGCTGGCTGTAAGGTGAATACTGTGCAATTGGACTAGCACTACCGGATTGAGGAAAGTTGACGCTTGGTCGACGGATCTCTGAACGCATCATGTTCGGCGGGGGAGTAGGAGCCGTAGGAGGGAAATAATGAGGGCGGCCGGCTGCAGGAGGTGTAGGTAAAGCCGGCTGGATTGTCATTGATTCCGTGGGACGTGTGCTTGCCGTTAGGAAAGGCGATTGCTGGGCATCAATCGTGCCTGTGGGTGGATTTAATCTGCCGAGGTTGTGATTCCTGATCGACTTCTCGGGATATGGAGGTCGTATCGACGGTCGTCCCGGGGGTTGGAATGGCCTAGCATGCTGTTGTCCTTCTTGTGTGGATTGAGTGGAGTCCACACTATTGGGTCGACTGATGGAGGGCAGACTTTGCGAGTTCTGTGTATCAACGGGTGATGGCGAATCCATCTGAGAGTTGCTACGCTTCAGACTTCGTTGCTGTTCCACCAACTCGGCTTGGGGGTTAAGAATGGAGTGGACTCCGAAAGGGTTCCCATATCTTCGATCCGAGGGCGTGGGTGGGGTTCTGGAAAGATGGCGAAGAGGTGGCAGGGAAACGGGAGGGTTTGCCGGAGCTTCTCGCGGGCTCCTGTAAGGTGGCTGCATTGGAGGATAAGACTGGATGGGCGACATCTGTGGGGTTGTTCGCGCTGATCGAGTTTCTCCTGCCTGTGGGTTTGACATGGAATGGATATCGTCAGAGCCCCCTTGGCCGCCCTGACCCGACCATGGGCCGTCGGGCTTTGGATCGTTGTGGTACGGCGGAGTCAACGAGTTCTGAAAACGTCGTGGATAATGAGGGAGAGGGGCCCTAATAGCGGGGAGAGTCTGAGTAGCCAGGGTGACAACGTTGGTTGGGTCGCCTAGAAGACAACCCAAGATACGTGGAGGTAATGTAGTGTCGAAGGAGGCGAAAAGGGTGGTGGACCAGACAATGTGGTGGCAGTCCCAACGGTGTAGTGGCAGCACGAGGCGTGGATGGGTTTCCTAGTAGGGCAGTTGAGGCAGTGTGGGGCTGACGGCCATGCTATACTGGGAGTAAGCGACCAAGGCTGCAGGAACGAGGACTGGAGATCGGTAGCAAAGTGAAGCGATGAGGAAATGAAGCTGCGAGGCAACGTCGGGGGAACTGGTAAAGAGTCTGGGGGTCGAGATCTGTCACGCCCGCAATCGGCACAGGTCGCGCCAGGACCGGGTGTGATATAAGAATTTGCGGTGTAATAGTCGGAGGATGGCTGGCCGGGCAGCAAACCATCGAGGGTGCATTGTGCCCCTGTCGCGCCTGGTCCATGTTGCGCGAGGAAGGGCAGCAAGTACATCATGCCTTGTCGGCGGCTTTGACGACGCGCTAGGCGGTGCCTTGGGCTTGCTGGGATACGCTGGCAAGCTACTTGCGCACGTCTTGCGCGCTACTGCATGTTCGACAGTGAAGATACGCGGAAGCGGAATACACACTAAGCCCCCCACCGCAACAACGCGCAGCTGGCGGCCAAGTAACGACGTCGAGGTGGCCTGCTGGCCCAAACTGACACAAGCGCACTTTGGCGGCCGCGCCCTGCAGCCCCCAGCACTGACCTGCGGGAGACTGTCCGGAAAGACGTCCTGTCATCTCATCTGCAGCTTGCCGGCGGCCCTCCTGCACCTCCATGGCGAGCCGTGGCTGGCTCGCACGCATATCCTCGACCGCTGCTAGGGCCGGTCAGGCCAGCGGTTGCGGTAGCAGCGTGTGCGTGATGCGCACGACCGTGTCTCATCATGTGCCCCAGTCCATCCTTCCCTTGCCGCTCGCTGTGCAATGAATTGTGCACCTCATTTTGCTTTGTTGAGCCGCCTTATTGGCTGCCCGTCGCGCATTTAAAATCCCCGACGCTTGCCTCAGTGCTGCATATGCTTCGCGCGCTACGCACTGCACAAAAGGCGAGCCACAGCGTTGCATCATTGTGGCCCAAGACATCGATAGGACCACTGGGCGCCTCATCGCTTCAGTGGGTTGCTTCTTGTCCAGTACACCTGCATTTCCGCGGCCAGCACCACTAACGTCTCGGGACGGTCAGCGGCGGCAACGCCTCGTCTCGCTGCGGATGACAGAAGAAATTAGCATGCCCACGCCATGCAGCCACCGAGGAGCGATCGCTTCCGCCTTGGAAAACGTGCGTGTCGATAACGTGCATGTGGACGTGTTGCAGTGGCCATGTGGGGGTAGCAGCAGCTTGATGAGACGGCATGATAGAGATCTCGGTCGGTTGATTTGTATGACGAGCCTCTGAAACTCGATCGAATCAGTAACAAGGGAGGCCCTCGCCCTGCCGTCGCGATAATACTAATCGATATCGCCAGGGTTTGGGTGACAGTTCCCCGCGCTGTCGTGGGGGTGATTAGCTTGTGGAGCTGCAGATGTGTCCCAGCACGAGACTTGTGATCGGACAGATCGTCAGTGATCAGTTTCCATACACAAGTCAGTCCTGTATTGCGCAATTTGCGGCATCCTCTGTGCGAGTACTTTTGTGCAACGTAGCGTGGAGTTTGCGCCAGGCGAAACAGATCAGTAGGTTGGGCTTCAATTGCGTACCCCTGTCACATTGCCAATCACGTCAGGTGTCGGCCTTTTGATCCTTTTGATCCCACATGCGCACGCCGGTTAGAACAAGGCTAGCTCAAGTTTCGTTGCGACTGGTAGCTGGCGTTAATCCATGTACATTTCCTGCTTCTCGAACCTTTTCCATGACAATTCATTCCCAGAGGACCGGTAACGGCGTACACGTTGCAGGACCTGAGACGATCTCAATGCCGCGCATGTTATTCCTTCTGGAGGCGCATCGAGATGGACTGGACACTTGCGAGCAGCTGAAAAGTATATGTACCCCGAGTACGAGCGCATCAAACTCTGTGAAAGCCGTGTGCGGCTGCCGGCATGTTTGGGCAGTCTTTGAAGATCTGGAGCTTCTAGTGAGCCCTCGTGCGCGCTGACTTTGAGAGACAGGAGCAGTAGCTGGAGTCAGGGCAGCCTGCCTCGGCGCAAGCTGGACGCCCTCGTGAGGGCCTTGCTCAGGGATTTCCACCAAAAGCGTCATAGCTTGCGACCAACAGCGTGGTCCACACGGCGCCACTGATGGATCTCAGCCATCGGTTGGTTGATCCTCTCCACCAGTTTCCGGCTCCAGACTGTCGGTTGCGCAGCCAAGGCGATAGTTCAGGGGAGACCGCACCAGATTGTGAGGTCACGTCACACCTTCTGAGCTAATCACGGTGTATGTACACCGCACAGCCGCGAGAAGCGTTGGTTCCTGTTCCAAAATGCCGGACGGTATCGCCAGATCAACTTAGAGGATTGATTCAGACGAGATGGAGTGGTTGACTGACTCGTAGTCTCGGTGCAGTTCACGAGTTGGTACATCGCGTGTCCGGTGAAGCTGGGTACTCTCTGTGCCCACTTTTCAGTTTCCCAAGCCCACTCACTACCACATACAATAGCGGCGGCACAACTGCCGCTGCCCTCCGCGGGCGTGTCGACATCGAATTGCCTTGGTTGACGTGTTGTGAAGCTCCAGCATAGGGAAGTGGCGGCACGCGCGTGCTCGTCGCAGCGATGGATGCATCGGCACTTGGCCAATCCTCCACGATGCTTCGCTTGGGCAGGCGTCCAGTTGTGTCGAAGCGGAAGGGAGACCCTGATGGAGGCATCGAACGAGTGAACAGTCCGCGGATGCATTTTGACATAGAACGCACGGCCCAAGCTTCTGCACGGGCGTTTGGGCGTCTCCAATGCGCCTGCCCAGCTCTGCTCAGCAATCACAACAAGACGAACGACGTTGCTATCATGTTACAGATCCTCACAGTATACATAAACCTCCACCACAGATGAAGGCGGCATGTATGCAACATAAGCGAGATCCGTCCTGCAACCGACTGAACGGGCCTGCGGCACTCTTTTGTTTGGCCTTGCTACACAGCTTTCCTGCGCTTGCAACGCTTCGCAACCCCTTGTTGACGCCATGATCCGTAATTTATGTTGTCCCGAGACAACGTCAAAATGAACAAACAATACCGGACATCTGTGGCAGATTCGTGTCGAAGCATGCATTGCGGGACTCGCTTCAGACGTTCTTTGTTACACAAGCAAACACCCACAACCGAGAACACTTTCAGCCGCCTGCACAAGGCCCAGTATCGCCAGTTCATTACTCGTATCGGCTTATATTATCAGTTTTATATCCCGGAAGCGGGAGATGACGTTTCTTACCCTGCAACGCATAACATATGAGGCGGGGGCTAATGTATACAGGTACCAAACGGGTTGCTTGATGCTCGATCGGAAATCCCTTCGTCTCTGCAATCTCGAACGGCCCTCTGGCTCGGTCTACGTCGCCGTCAACCACTACAGTGAGCAGAACAACAGATGTCACCTCGAGACCTTGCCTGGGCAAACATGGGTTGGTCACTCGCTAAACTATCTTCTGCGTCAGGCTCACCACCCTGCACACCAACCCGCGCCTCCTGATTGTCCTTCTGATCACGATGTCTCTTTTCTTGCGCAAGCGCATATTCTTCGGATGCATTTGCCAGCCAGTGTGCGGACCGGCTCAAATCGAGACATGACAGCGTCGACTACCAAGGCGTAGATCGGTAGATACAGTACGGCATTCAGGTGACAAAATGATGACCTTATCGTTGTCGAAGCAAGTCGTGGAGTATCGATCGCACACCACAGCTCCCTTTCGAAGGACGCGATACCAACCCAAACAACCGTTTGCTCGTCCCAATCTCCTTTTGACTCATTATACACTAAGGCTGATGCAATACTCCTGGTAGCAAAAGATTGCATGCAG